CATGTATGTATATATACAGTATGTATAGTATATATAGTACATATACATACATTACACGAATGCATAATAAGATGCACATTCGTACTCTTGCAATACTTGTTGATTTGCTACTAGATCAGTAAATTTCAATGATGAGAATAAACATGCAAGTTGCATGTTGCTACTTTACTTCCTGTGTGCATTGGCTCTAAGCACACCAAGAGCCATGCATCGAATATCTTCCACTCGTGTAAGTATCCTCTCCTGTTGGTTTCTTTCAATATGACGATTGTCTATCATCGCACTGATGCGTCTTCCAGGATGTGCTCGGGGCAAGCGTTCGCATGCGCACAAGCACCTCAGCTACGAATAGAACTATCACATCCCGGATGACTGCGATAAGCTCTGTAAAGCTGCCGGGTTTAGGATATTTATCTGTACATCTATCTCGAACGATTCTACAGAAAGTTCTGAAGCACAGCCTTACAAATACCAGTGCATACGCAGCTATATCTATCCAAAGTTTACGTATCCTCGATGCGATTCGTTGAATCCCGTACACCGGATCCTCTCGAAAGATCTCCAGCTCACGGCATGCAGTGGAATAGTATAGTAACGCCAACATCCTGGTAGTTTCACTAACCATATTGATGGAATATATAACCATGATCTTGTAATCGTACAGCGCATAGTATGTATCCCGAGTGACCCGAGGCTTGATTTGAGCCAGGAGATAGTCCATGGCTGACTCTGCACTCTGTGTGGCACTCATAACCTGGTAAACGGCTAGGTATCGGTTGTGACAGACCTACCAATTGACATATCTGCAATTCTGATTAAAGGTTTTCGTGAAGTATAGCTGTTTGCTGGTTGTATCTTCTAGAGACCATGTGCAAAGTGTGCTATTCAGTAGGTGGTGGCACTTCTCGTCCAAAAATGAATACTGGCACTCGGCACAGTGCACTCGCGTTTTTAGAGAGTACGCGCAGCCTATTTTAGCCAATCAGAAGACTGACTGCTATCGTTATTTGATCTATGTCTGTTAATTGTTATACAATATTTGAGATTCTCAAAATTATCGCGATTCGATCCCAATTCTTACTAACTTAATGTATGTTTGATGTTAATAAATATGTGTTCAATTTAGAAGGCCATGAAATATGTAGTATATATATGTATATATATATATATACTATATCATCGTGAATTCGGATTTTAGACATTTACTCTCTAGTAGAGGGAGAAAGGCATACAATTTTGAACATGCGAACTTGTCCCATGTCTGTATCAGGTCAGAGTCTAACAGTTGAAGAGATAGGTCATCTGTATTAATCTTCAATGACCCACACTTTGAGCCCTCACACCCCTCAAAAGGGGATCTCGGTTGTATATGATCAGATTGTCAGAATGGAGCACTCAATTGCACAACGAGTAGAGCAAGAACGCGGACCAGCTAATGAATATGTGCGGATTGACCTACAAACGTGTAGAGAAAATGCATGCCTATCAGTCACATTGTAGATATATTGTAGCTTTTGAGAAAGTTGGACAACTTGGTCGATAACGTGCAAAATTTGATAGCTATATGCTCCGAAGAAACAGGTGTCGAGTACAGCCTGCCTATCCTTTATTGCAAACAGTTACAGATCGTAGTTTTCTATTTTTAGTCCTGCTGCTGAATTATTTGAGCATGTAAATCATATTTGAAATAACCAGGTTTTTTTCGAGAGATCCGAAGTGTATGAATATGTATCGCCTGCACCTTTATCTTGATTGTTTACATGTATGACGGGCTTAAATTGAGATGTTGGTGGCGTTTTGTAATCTCGCTCCAGTGCGCAGTAATAGTCTGATATCAGATTGTGAGTAAAGTTTAGTAGGTTTTACCCTCATAGCCTTCCGCTTCAAGAAACACCGTCTTTGTTCGGTGTCTTTTGATCAGGAATGCCGATACGAATGCCATTGGTATGGCCACGATTACTAGGATATAAGCCAACCCCAAGGAGTCTGTCCATTTTGGGTACGTGAAATTATAGTAAATTGCCATGATGATACAGGGTGCAAGAAGCAACTGGGCCTGGGCGGTGAGCACAAGACTCACGACAGGTGGAGCTTTGAACTTGCAACAACATTCCATCCAAATATTCATCACCATCATGAACAGACATATCAGTCCCAATATCGCGGCCACTATAAGTAAACCGGCCATTGCCGTCTCTTCCATTTTCGCATACGCATCCCACTGAAAGTCTGTGCAGAATTGCACGGCGTTCGAATCTACAACAGTTGCGTTGTAAGTTTGTGCGCAGTTGGTGGCTATGCCGATCTGATAATTACCAGGCCCAGTCCACCATGAAGTTGAGAACACACCGTAGGCAGCAGAAGCAGTGGTGTATAATGTCAAAACCAGCGACACGATTACGTTGGTTAGTCTGTACATGCTCGATAATAGTTTGTATACGCAAGAACGTGTATCAAGACAACGCCTACTAGTATCTGCCTAATCATTGACTTGGGGATATCAATGTATACCACGATGACTTGCTCACAATCAGCGACAGTTGATGATAGCGCAAAAATTGCGCCTCGATTTTTTTTTGTCAAATATCATGTAATAAATAGTATTACTTGAGTGATGTTTTCGGTCCGACACTCAAAGATTTTGTAGTTCTCATTGACAAACTTGAACTCGAATGATATCCGCACAACCCCACACACGTGTACAACACACCCTCCGTGATGTCTAAAAACCAATGGATACTAAACATTATTTTACTGTCTTATGTCCCATTTTTGCTGTATCAACTCACAGTTTACAGCACAGAGAGAAAGTATCATCACACGGCCTACGGACTGTGGTTGTAAACGGAGATAGGCCACAGAAGCAAATATGAAATTACTATAATTTTACGGATATCAGGTTCCTCTGCTGTTTAAATCATATTAAAGGGCATATATGTGGGTAGCATGGAAATTGGTCAAGGCGTGTACACTACCTACTTTTGTAAGGAATCCATGAACCAACTTATCTTCTGAATAAGTTACAAAGCAGCATTGCAGCTATTACCTTCATCTTACCAAGAAAGAAAAATGAAGTACCCGGTCGATATAAGCGGAATGTGTAGTTTGCCAAGTGACCCAAATCCAAATATGTATAGATGATCCGAAAAATTTACTACAAGATAACGATCATTAGAACGAACTTTGTAAACCTCTAATTGCACAATCAATTGCGCTCCACAGTACACACTGCATGTCATAGATATACAGTCGAAAGTATAAGCATACGCTCTATTTCTTAACTTCGTGGGCGTGAATGGGGAGCGACAGCAGTCTCGTCAAAATATTTTTACAAATTGAATATGTACTTACGCAAAATAAAAACCGGATAATTAAATACTCGTCCGAACTGAAAGTTTTAAAAATTGGAATTTTTGGACAGAGGTTTGGATAATAAATAGCGGTAGGCAAGTCTGGGACGAGGGCGGTTGTTATCTCTCTAGAGGAAAGGTACAACGCGCTTTTAGTGAAATTTGGTCCTATTACAGAAGCCAACGTGACGCCTAAATCACATATCACATATCTCGCTAGAATGTCTACCAATGAAGGCTGTAATCGAGGATACAGCGCTCTTTTAGTGTTTTTATTCTTCTTCATATACAAGACTACCCAGCCCCGCCGACCTGACGTGCAGTGATATCTGTTACAATCGATAAAGCGATGAAGCGATTCCATTTGCAGAACAATATGGGATAACTTCTCCAGCGCCTGCTTAAACTGTGCAAGAGTGACAAGTTGCTAATAGTGATATTTTGCTATAGTTTGCACATGTCTGCACTGGGGGGGGGGGGGGGT